CCCCTTCTCTTTCTCTCTCTCTCTCGCATAATGGGCCACTTCGCTCACAAGGAGCCCCCCCCCCCCTATGATCACCGTAGGGCTACGTGTAGGCGGGCGATAGGGTCCTAGGGGGGTGCGCCTCCTTGTGAGTGAGGTAACCCTGCAGGGCTATTCCTGGGTGCCTGGGACCACCCTAGGTCTTGTGGGGGGGCAAGCAGATTTATTTTGATTCTAGCACGATCACGCACGAGCCAAGAGGCGAGGAGCTAGCTAGATCTCTCCACGCCCACCATGTACGATATCCCGCTCCACGCCCACGCCCACCATGTGGGACAACACTGTTTGAGACCTCCTGGGACGCTGGAGTTTGAAATGAACAGCGAAAGTGCATCGTGCATTTCAAACTCCAGCGTCCCAGGAGGTCTCAAGCAGTGTTTATTCAGTCGGGGGTGCATGCCCTGTCCGAGCGTGGCTGTTGGCTCTGCAGACATCAGCCACAAAACCGATACTCCCGATGCCCATTATGTACCACAGTTGGCAGAAGAATTTCAAGCTCCTCTTCTTGATCTATCATCGTTCCCTCCTCTTAGACCGGGGGAGCGTGCTTAATGGTCCCGACCATCACACTCGGTCCAGGATCATCTGAACCACCCCAGCTTCAAGCTCAAGCACTTGCGACCCCGCCCCGAGCCGCGGATGCTGCCCCATCGCGAACGCCTCGCCACTCTCCCGCACCCAGTCGCGCCCTCATGAAAGACACATGACACATTATTCTACTTCTACCTCGATGGTGCGCAGGAGCGCTCCGGTCGACGAATCCCACACCTTGCAGGTGCCGTTGTAGCTGCCCGATGCGAGCTTGCTCCCATCAAAAGCATCGAAAAAGCTCGCTGAGGTGACGTAGGCCTTGTGGCCAACCATCCTGACCCGCTCTGTTCCAGACTCCGCATCGACCAAGTGCACGTCACAACCGAGCCCTGAACTGGCAGTTGCGATGGTCCGTCCGTCCGGGGAAAACACCGCAAAATTGCGCCCCGCGATACTCCTTCTCTTCCCACCGCTCGGCATCCCACACCCAAATCTCGTCGTGTTCCGTGCTCGCAAACATGTTTTTATCGGTGGGGGAGAACTGCAGGCGGGACGTGTGCGTCCGCACGGCGAGAACAGCACTGTGGATAGCACCCCCCCCTACGCCAACATCGCGAGCAGTCACTGACCACTTCACGTCCCCGGTCGCCTCATCCACCAGCATCACGCACCCTTCGCTAAGACCAAGAGCCAGCATCCTCACCAGACGAGGCTCGCTCACTGAAGCATTGCCGCAGAGGCAAGCGGGGCAACATAGCCGTGTACCCTGACGTGGTACACAGGTACAGTTGGGGCGGTCCGGAAATTGGGGTGACCAGTCGCCTCAATCACCCCAATTTCCGGACCGCCCCAACTGTACCCGTGTACCACGTTTAGGGTTTAGGGTTTAGGGTTTAGGGTTTAGGATTTAGGTTTTGGAGTTTAGGGTTTAGGGTTTAGGATTTAGGGTTTAGGATTTAGGGTTTTGGGAATAGGGTTTAGGGTTTGGGGTTTATGGTTTATGGTTTGGGGTTTAGGGTTTAGGGTTTAGGATTTAGGGTTTAGGGTTTAGGAGCAGGTGCATGGGGACCGCCGTCTCTTCTGCGGCCGCTAGCCCCGCAAGCCGGTTCCTCAACCCCAACACATAAACCGTCAACCCCGAATCTTACACCTTCAACCC